TGGCGGGAACACTGCTCGCTGCTCTCGTGTCGGTGTTTCACGAGCCACCATTAGACGACGAAGGAGAGGTGACACTGAAATTGCTGTTACGATCCGGGTCCATTTCGCTTTCATTTGTGGTTACTGCACTCATCACGGGTGCCTTTCATTTGAAAACGATCACCATCACAGATTTTCCCCAGTCGCTTGAGATAGTTTCCTTTATCCGAATGCAGACAGGTAGATCAGATAAGCGCTGACTGAGGATAGTACCCACATGATTTCACAAATCCAAATAGTAGTAGCGGGTGGCCGGAAAACTTGTTTTAGTTCAGCCCAGCAGTCCAGGCGTTTTCTTCATCAAGGATGATTGAAAATTCTACCAGGCAGTAGATTCAAAATAAACCCTTGGAACACTTTTGGATGTCCTTATCAAACTAATGCAAACTGAAAGCTAGGGATATTGCATTATCCTAAATCTCGGTAACACAAAACGAATTCCAAACATCTGGAACAAAATCAGCCACCCTCTATGAGGTTTTCACGGCATAGTCATTAGGAGTTTATTCGTCATCCATATTATCATCCACGCATGATCGATGGGTAATTGAGATGGAACGCAAACGACCGATTTTTGCATTCAACCTTTGTTTATACTCACATACATTCTTCTTCTACAACTGAAGTAGTGTAGTTGTAATAGTGGTGTTTCAACCCACGAATCCGCTCCACAGATAACGCATGGATTATTAAACGTACAAGTCGTTCTTTCCGCCGGTTGTATTAATCTAGCTATGAATTACAATATAGGAGACAAAGTAACTATTGGGAGCGAATTTGTGCGGCCGTCAAGTTGAACGCATCCTACTGGTGTAGATAGTTCGATTCTCGTCATTTTTCATAACCATAGACTAGACGACAAGCTGAAACCTAAAACATAGATTAGATTCGTTTGCAGGAAGAAGCCTCATCTAAAAATAACCCAACCTGCTAACACTATAGTCATTCTCATATGTTTTGTTCACCACTCGTATTATGGGCACTTCGGTGACCCAGAGAAATTTCTCGGACTGGTTCCTAACTTTAAATATTTTTGGTTTACGATGTATTTATGCTTATATTAGGTATTCGGATGCGGTTCTCATGTGATACATCCACTTGGTACTGAGCGAAATTTTAACTACTTTCGTCCTGTGCGCCGGGCAAGTGTTATCGCGCCCAACAAAAGAGTAATTCTAATGAATAGTGGCTTAAAGTTCATCCCAGTCATATTAACAAAGTATGGTCATACAACGTAAACAGCTGATTTACTAAATGAAAAAAACACCAGATGGAGCGGTTCTGTTTTCCGTCGTTAGGCCTTATATTGATCCTTTTCGTACGCTAGTAATTCTCACTCCACCGTGTTGCCCATCTGTGTAGAAAATTCAGTTGTTTATCCCAAACAACAAGGACCATATGCATGCCTACCTTTCGTTTTGCATACAATTATCAGTCGTCCAACTTGTTTGGTGGGAATGAGGATAGCCAGTACTAGAATGAGAATGCACATAATCGCATAAACAGGGGTTACCGGTGTATGTTTCCACTCGCGAACTGGTTCCGTTGTCATGCCACCGTTGTTTTTATTGAGGAGATAAGAACTTTGTAATTTGGTATTCCGCAAAAATGTTTTCTTGAATCTAATGCATCTAGTGCAACTGAACGCCATAACACAGAAATCATTGGTTCTCAGTTAGTGTTCCGCATTTTGGATAGTTTGATATGTCATAGGTGAAATGGTATGGCTCCAGATTATTATGACTATTACTAGATGCTAGGGATATTGAGAGATCAGATACCGTTTAGAACGATATACTGGTCACAATCAGAAATGACTCTCTGAGAGACTGATTCAATGTCATCTCTCATGAGAGATGATCCATCCTGAATAACGGGGACGATTCTTTTGGGAGAATGAATATTGGAGTTGCTCGTTTTTCTTCCAGGACGGTTTGCAGCGTTTACCTTGTTACCAACAGTTTTATCGTGGAAACTGTCATAACACCTGTTGGATCGTTTGATGCATCCAAATATCCCTCAGTTTCCAGCGGAAAATGTCTTTATCTGCCCAACTGGTTCAAGTGTTTGGTTGTAAACTGATTATTGGCTTCAAAGTACGGGAAAGTTAGGAAGCCGCGGACCTAAACCATACGAAGTCATTTTCCTTGTTCGGACTCATAGGCTTGTTGTTTGAGAAATTCGTCACGGACGAAATGCTTTGTGTTGCCTTGGTTTCTGGGATCAGATTACAACTGTGATTTGAGTCGGTGATTTGATTTGGTCATGCTCAAAGCTGACTGTTTGATAGATATCAGTTTTTTGTGGGAGTCTATCATTGTTTAGGTAAACTACTTGGAACTACTTGGAGCAAAGGTAAAATTTGGAACCATGTATTTTCCAAGACGTCGGGACATTTCTTCTCGTCAAGTATGAATGAGTTCTTAATATGACATTCTTTTCAACCCACTGCGAACTTTTACGAGTAGAAAACAGGACTCAGTCTTCAATCAAGTGAAAAATACTTGGAACCGATTGGATAGTCATCGGGACATAGAATAGATCTGGGGAATATGGAAGTTTTGAGACGAGGTGTGCGATTCACACCACAGCCGCAGATAGCTGAGGTGGTGGAAATTATTAAGCATCACAGCCTAAATAGAATCGAGGGTGTGGAACTGGCGAGCGTATGGAAAGCGGTCTTAGGCCGAGTTGGCACGTGACTGTGTGGTTGTCATTCCAGGGAGAATCGTTAACAAAACCGGGGGAAGGCGGTGGAAATCTCAACCCAACTAGTGTCATAGCATCGCTCTAACACAACTTTCTTAGCACTAGCTCATCAGGCGGACAGAAGGTGCAAACGACATTCAAGAGGGGCCATCAAACGAACCGAACCAGAAGAACTAGATGCCAGACTGGACACTAACACATGTAGGTTTCTCAACCAACCCAACACTTTTCCAACCACTGTAACACACAAAAGTCCCTCGGCCGACATCCAACAGAAATTTAGTCTGACTTAGCTGATTGGTTCTTCTTTCGGCTTAAATCTCGATCAATCTCCGAACCTAGTCGCTTGGCCTGACGAAGCTTTTGTGTCCAAAGCGAAACGTTGCCCAGCAGTAAATCTGCCGATTGTCACCAAAATGTTGGAAAAGGAATAAGTCTTCTTACGTCTCTTGACACCAACCTTCTTGGTCCGGTACTTGGTGACAGCGGATCGTCGGAAGCTAAGTGACTTAACTGATGGGTGAAACTGCTTGATGTACGATTTACCGGTAATAGAATAGCTCTGCCTATCTAGGAGATTCCTTTACATGGCTGTAATGCTAAACTGTTGCAGGCAACAATGTTACGCTGTGGGTTATATTTAAAGTACTCTTTGTTTGTGCCGCGGATTTATAGGTGTACAATAGAAAAAGCTCTGTTTCATTCAACTCACTGAGCAAAGAGCTTACAAGTCGAAAAAATTGCGCGCAAAACAATACACAACGATCCCCGATAATATGGACACAACAGGCTACCTAGTTTAGTCAATGCCCACCATACCTCAAACCACTATATACCAGACATATTCATCCACAGAAGTGTGCAATACATGTATATACGTAATGCATTACTCATAAGGTTGACGAATGATTTTCAGCAACCCTTTGAGTAGTGCACTACGTATATGCAAAACAAATGAATTTAAAATGTGTCCACTTGGTCAAGCGGTGACGTACTTAGGCCAGAAAACAGATCATTGAGCAACTGGGTTGACATCTTCGGTTCCTGGAGAGTCACTCGCAAAAATTAATGTGTCTGCAAATAAGTGTATTGCCATTCTTTTCTCCTTCTTCAGAAGAACCTTCAGAAACAACAGATTACCAAATTTTCACATTGGATATCCTGATGAACGCTACTGGTTTGGGCCGTGCTCAACCTAATACTGATCCCAAAAGCTGATTAAAGTTTCGGAAGAACAACAACGACGGTCTCCCCTGATCGCAGTTTCTGAACGAAAGAAGGTTGTCTGTATCATCAAAAATGTACTTGGCTGGAATTCACAGAAAAATAATCCTCCATTGTGCAATTATTAATTTTATGGATATGTTTAACTGTAATGCAAATGCCAGCCTAAAAATAAACGTTATATTCACCACAGGATGCTCCACACGACTGTATATCTGTTCCATGATTTATCGTATATTGTGTGGAACACTGCAAAATGCTCGCAGGGCTAACATAAAAGTTTGGAGACCAGTGACCGTCTGCCTGGCCGGCTGTTTCGCAGAACACTGTCCTGGAAGCCTTTCTCAGTCCGTACCACAGGGACTTCTGTGGGAGTAACACCTGTATATCAAAGTTTTTTTATAGATCAGTACGATTAAACTAGTCAGTTCTAACCGCCGTTTCGCCAGTTACGCCTTTGTAGTATTTCAGAAGGGGTTATATCCCTACATAAGCAAGCCGTCTCTCGGTCGATGCATTATCACTTTCGCCAATGTCTTATTGTTACCCTGCTACCCCCCAAAGGATCAAGTGTTAATTAGACCGGCCGGCTATGTCTGAGCACCTACTGTCAGTCAAAACTTGCTAGCATATTTTTAAGGTCTAATGGACATGCGTACATATCTTATACGATTCTGCACGGACATCAACTACATATCATCTACGATGGTATGATATGGCACGTAAGTGGCAAGAAAGAATCCGACCATGGTGTGCTTACGTTTAACGGGATCTTCGGTAGCCCCCTCTGCATCAGTGCTGGCCACTGATGCTATGCCATCCATGATGATGGTGTCTAGTTGTCTCATTATGGCTCCCAGTGGGAAACATTTTTTTCGATCTGTGCGGGCTTGTAACCCTTCGTTCAGCCGCACCAGCGTCATACGCTTAAGTTCACCCAGAAGTGAATTGCCTTCCTAGAGCAACCATCTACAGAAATACAAACATGCGAACCTCCACCACAAGCCTGCTCTCTTGTATACCACAGGATGCATTACTCTGTGATCACATTCGGTCATTTTATCCAACTGACTAGCCTAGAAAATCTCGCGCTCATGAGGTTAGTTTCAATTGAACAAGCAAGAATTGGTCGCATTCTTCGGTTGTAAAACTTATTTCGTCACACTAAACCCACTGTTCGGCTGAGTATCATAAATGCCGGGGACAAATCTGCTTCACAGTAAACACACTCCAAATCGGTAGACAGTGTAAAAGTAAGATGAGACCATTGCCATCGAAATCGGCCACATCTTCATCCGTACACCCCCGAAATTCTAGGACAATAATGTTTAACATGTGTAAACAACTCGCATAATTTTTTGGCGAGAGGTTCCAAACATTCGAGATACAAAGTTACGGAATTATTGTGCGACGTGGAGTATGCCAAAGCTATATCTCTTCAGATTGTGCTTGCGGTCTTTTTTGACCGGACGCTTGTTCCAGTGCCTGTTTAGACGCTGACGCATCAGCTGAGACAGGTCTTATTGACTAACATTCATATTCTGTAGGTGACTTTCACATTCTGTGAAGTTTCATTGCCTGTCTTTGGAACAAATTATGGATATCCTTAATTTCTGATTCGACATCTGGGTCACCTTTGTATTATCTATCAATTAAATTCTTCGACACATTTGACAGAGACCTCAGAGCTACAACTGTTGTTCCTCAATTGCTACGCTTCATTCATACTACTGAATGGCACCTTTGTCGCACACATATACGAAAATTTCAAATTATCTGTGGCCGGATAGTAAAATGTGGTTGTTAACTGCAGTTATTAGAGTTACCACTGCTTTGGCTATCTTGCGGTAATATATATACCAAATGTGCTTTGGTATCAGAGATAATTCAATTCTGATTTTCTACATTTCTACTTCCTCTCTATAATAGCCCTACTTCCGTTTGATATCGTTGTTCAAACATCTATATTTTTACAGCAGGATCACAAACTTACTCATTGTAGCTAGCTTTCTGACAGAATAGTAGATATTGAGTTTCTCAAACAGTGGAAATATTAGTCTCGGAGCTCGATAGTCTGTTTTCTGTTGAGAAAAACTCACCACCGGGGTGTTTTATCCAACGGTATTCCACTAGATATTCAAAAATACCGTGAGCCTATAAAATGGATTTGTGCTGTGACATACGTTTGTTGCGAGTTGGATCAGGTATTCAGGGTTGGAATGCTTTGCTGTATATCAATTCATTCTTTTTACGACAACTTTAGTATGCGTTCTATGGAAGCACCAGGAGACAGTGGTTCTCCGAAGGCAGGTAATTTTAGTATGCATTCTATGGAAGCACCAGGAGACAGCGATTCTCCGAAGGCAGGTAAGTGTTCACGACAATTTCTGTGGATAGAAAACGGAAAGAAAGCTCATGAGGCGAAGCCCAGTAAACATGGATATACATCATCAATACTTACATATAAATCAATCAAACTGGCACACACCATATACTACATAGAGACTGACCAGGAAAGAAACCAATGATAAGCATACATGACAAGAGAATACTTCTAGTCGATAGAGTGAGTTGGTGTTTGCAATACACCAGTTTCGTACTCCGTTTTATTACATTACAACAGTGTCGTGCGTTTAAACTAAAAAACGACCACAAATGTCACGTCAATGGTGTCAAATCCCATGGTGACATCATACGTCACTCTATACCTATATTAAATCCCACAATGACAAAAACATGCTCAGGTGTCAAATCCCATGGTGACATCACACGTCACTCTATACCTATATTAAATCCCACAATGACAAAAACATGCTCAGTGTACACAGTAAAAAATTACGCCGCATGGTAAACATTAGTTCACTAGAAATGCGTTTCTATTGACAAAGTAGAACCGGTCAATACACAAATGAACTTTAACTGGGTGCAGTAAGTAATGCATTGTAGACACTGTGGAAGTGACTGGAGGTGATCGCGCTGATCTAGTTATTAAGGTGTGCGTAACCCTGAAAAGACCCCGCGATAGCCCGGGTAATCAGCATAACTAGTTACGTAGAGTATACTTTTGTTCAACTGTAAGTCTCTTCTTATCTGACCATCAGTATTGAACAATTACTCACCAGCTCTATTACGAAGTACGCAGTAGCACAATGCTTTTGACAAGCGTATGCTACAAGGCGACATTCAAGCGTCCTGTGCTGCTTCAAACTACCACCGAATAAATTACGGAGTTTAAATTTCGCCGAATTCCACCCTCGAATTATCTGAAGAATAGGGATATTTTACCATGAAAACATTGTGATAACCGCCACTTTTGTGTTGAATAGAGAGGATATCTGCTTGTGCACGTCCCGGACATGGGTTCGACTTGTTTTGGCTGGTCGTACCTTCCAATGGACTATGTCAATCATTCTGTTTCCGGTCTGACAGTGACTAGCCGGAATTTACCCGCTCTACTCAGTCGCCTTTAGGACAAAGCAGTTGCATCCATTTTGTAACCAGGCTACCTAAAAGTAGCCTAAACCAACATGTAGGAAAGCCATAAAATACAACGTGTAACACCACCTGCACGTTTTAGCAGCAGAAGAACCAAGGAGGATTAATACTGCCATGCTGGGAGTGCGTTGAGAGAACGTTCATCTATTTTAGCGCGAGAAGCAGGATGTGGTATAGATGAGGTTTGAACTTAAGCACTTTTACTGTCCGTGTTTAGGCCTGTAACGCCTACCCTTCTCCTTAATTGCTCCCTAAATCAATTTCCCACCGGCATCTACTACTCCCATTCCATTTTGTCTGTCTCACAATCACGCGTCAAAATCGTGAAATGAATACGACAATATGTCAACTCCCTTTCCATGACCTTTTGAACGAGACCAGGTGATTTCACATTGTTTTCATGTCCCACTCATTGCAACAACCTATATATAAGGACTGAACACAATCAAGCACACACGCGCATCACTCGCGCGACGGAGCATAGACCGGCTCAACCACCAAAAACTGTGGGCAACCAGGATCGTGTAGTAGAGAATCTGCCAAAAGAAACACGACTACCTGCACCCAAACGAACTCGGTGGAACTATTAAAAGTTACACTCAGGACGATAAGTCCTTCGTTTGAACCTTTCTATTTTTGGTATTGTATTGGACTTGATTAAGGTGCACCTAGTTGTTGTAATCTCACGCCCTCAAAGTGTCTCTTTCTCGCCTTCTGGTTTACCAGTTGGTTTTTGTTGTTAGCAAAAAATAACACTAATAGGCCTAAGTTTAATGGTTTTCAACCTGTCATCTGCTTCTAGGAAATCACTTCATTTCCACAAGCACAATGGACGCAAGACCTCGTTGCTTTGAGCTTTATGTGGAACGCAGGGCTTTAAATTGTAGGTTAGATCCTAACACGCTGGTGATATTGATCCATTAAGAAAATACGCGAAGGGATTTATTCCTCGCCCCAAACTATGATCTCCTCAGGAATCATAATTTGTTGGGTGGATTCGAACCCGAGACTTCTGACTAGTAGCTAAAGGCACTATTGGGGGGGCCCAAGTGATCAAATCACTCTCAGGATATAAGTCCAATACTCAGGCTAAAGACAGGGGGGCCCAAGTGATCAACTCACTCTCAGGATATAAGTCCAATACTCAGTTCACGTTACGTGACCCTGTGCTGGCTGACCTGACCTTTGACATCACATATGAGGGGATTTTACGACGTGAGATTTTCTGGGCAAGTTTCATATAATTTTTGAGTGATCAGGATGTTTCGAACTAACGGATAAAAATTGGTCTGTCAATAAAGAGACTGTACCAAAACCATGATGAAAACCGTGCAGCCGTTTCCTGTGCTTGAGAAACCATCGAAGTGTGCACATGGAGGTTCTTCAGGATGACCTTGCTACTCAGCTAGAGGCTCAAAATATACTCGTGAACATGGGGTAAATTTTATCCGGTGATTTGTCACCGCTCTCTTGAAAAATCCTGCCTGTGTTCTTAACCCCATGGATCTGCTTAAGCGCGGACATAGGAGGAACGATACGGGTGATTATGCAATAATTAAAAATTTATTAAAATCGAATATTGGCTATTGATTGTTGATTCCTCTTAATAGAACCATTGACAATTTGAGTACAAATAGATTATAAGTTTCTATGAAACTAGTGGACTGAAGCTACCTGATTAGCCCCAAGAAAGACGACACACTTCGTGGGTTTTCCAAGAATGTTCAGTAAACGTATGTGCAGTTTTCTCCAAGGATATAGCATGTGATTTCGCAAATATCGTACCAACTGAAACATTAGACCACCTTTATTCGGCATATTCAATTGAATAGGAGCAACACAGCGAAGAAAGTCAGCCTGACTTCAGAGGATTCTCCTGTGTAGAACTAAGTACAGTTCACAGGAACAAGTAAATCATTGTAGTTTTGGGTGACTACGTTAATTCTAGATGTGGTATTGTCACCTTCCAACGTGGTATTTGCTAAATGTCCGAGATTGCGAGAATATTACCGTGTCCCCACCTAAAATCAGTTTTCGCAAATGTACAACGTCCAGGCTGGGTTGGCGATAACACCGCTCTATTTAATGTTTAGATAGTTTTAGACAAATACTTCTTGCTGTGTCATAAATAACCTGGACGAGACGATCAAAAAAGGTGGTACACCCAAATTGATTTCTGCCTAATTTCCAGTCGGCTTATTAACCATAGTTTTTGATAAGCCAGCATCCTCCATGTGGACGCGTAGGCAAGCGTCCTGCACATGAAAGCTTTTAGGAAAGTATTTAGTCTAGAATTATATCGGTTGGGTTCACGCACAATATACGAGAAAGACATATAGTTGGACAAACGTTCTTTCACACCTTTACACGATCGTTTATACACCGTCTGGGACGGAGACCAGTGTCTACGCGCACTTCCTTGATGAACCTATAACTCAGACGCAGAAGTATGATCTGTTTCTATCTAAAATGTTCACATGCCGGTCGTTCTTGTTTGCAATCTACATGAAAACTCTGCTTCAGTCAGTCGCTGCGTGCCTTCAGTAATGGCCCTTCTCAGATAGCCATTCGCCACTTAACGGTTCGTATCATTTCCTCTCTAAGCCTGACCATCTTTGCTTGCTGAACAGTTGTTGCCTATTTATCTGCTTAGCCATCATTCCGAGTCGTTGGTCTTCAATCATCACAATAGATAACTTAGTCGTAGGTGCAACTGGCAGTATTCTACATAATATATGTATATATATATATATATGTCGATAAATAATGAGGACACTTTTATGGTGAAAATGCCACAATCAAGCCCTGACTACAAGCAAGTTTTGTTATCACGTGTCTTGCCACAAACACTAAACAATTTTCAATTTTGTTATCAAGGTGACTTGATTTAGGACATTTTGATGATCGTGTACACTGCTGAAAGATATTCACTGTATGCTTTGACAACTTGTTAAAATCGAAAATTACGGGATGAGCCAGCAAGCGAGATGGGACTGTTGCTAGCCAATAGCTACCGTTAGAACGAGAATCTCGCAGTAAGCGCTAGCACACCAAACCTGTGTGATATCGACCAGTGCATGACCAAACCCAAGGGTCAGGTGAAAGTTGACCAAAAGAATACGAGGCAAGCGGTCAGTCTGCAGGCTCTACAACCCCCAAAACCGCTAAAAACCTCAGTCAGCCGAACTTTTGTGGGGCGCAGATGCAAGTTTGCACACTCCCATGCACGCATGCCCTCATGGACGTGCGCGAAGATCCATCCCATTCCAAGACGCCCTTCCGCTGCACAACGAGCCGCTTGTGTTGTCGCTCCGCTGATAATGGAACCTTCGCAGCGAAATTCTTTAGTCCTCGGGAAAAACAAGACAAAGTCTATGCAAATATCTGCTAGGATTTGCCGCGAAATCAGATCAGTCTCCGCATATGATCACATTTCTTTCAGTGCGTTGTCAAACATGTATGGTGAATAGCAAGGGGAACTTGCTTGAACTGAACAGTTTTGTGTATGTGAGCTGAAATTTCACTAATTTGTGCGCTCCTCTTCATTTTCGTGGCGGTCCACACCATGTTGTTTGTTTTTCCACAGTCGCATCTGGTTATCGATATCTTACCACGGTCCTACTTCATTCTTATGTTATTGAACTGTTGGTGTGTTCGTACCATCAGGATACTGTGTTGACTGCCTAACTTCGTTGACGAAATACATGTTCAAGTAACAACCAAATATATCATCGACTGAAAAAAATTGTGGACACAAAACAGGTGTCTACGGACAAAATGAAAAACGCCGTTTTCGTGTGTAGATTAAATGCGTGGAGTGGAAAATGCCAAACGTCTGCAGGTCGGATACCCCACAGTCGGTGTTTGTGTGT